TTATTGTACGTTACAACTGCAAATTGTGCAATCTCAATCACCTTATCGTCTTTCGGTTTGACGGTTGACGCCACAGGAATAATAGGTTGGTCTTTCTGCAAACCCCAAACATTTTTCAGTAAGAAAACCCAACACAATTGAGTTCCCAAAATCAGTTAAGAGTCCTTTCAAACAAAGGAACAACCAGAAAACTAAATCCAACCAATCAATTAATAAGAAACGACATTGCTCGGAAGAAGCTTATTTATCAAGCAATTCAAGAGACGGCTGCATGTAGACAACTAGAAACATAAAATATTGCTAATCAAGTCGACTCAAGAATGTTGAAGTTACTTTAATTTGCAACTCCTCATACTTTTTCAAACGTTTCTATACGAGTTGTTTATAAGTTGACTCCGAAAACCATGCACACACAAACTTGAAAAACAAAGAAATCCAGTCTAGCAAGGCATACAATCACTATTCACCTGTCCACTGCCAATACCAGATTTGGCTGCAGCCATTTTCTTCTTAAAGGACTAGCTAGCTAACTAATAGGAATGGAAATAGATATTTGTAACTGGTGACTGTCGAAAACTTGGTAGCAGAGAACCAGACTCCTTGTATTTATAGGCCTAAAAATGTGATACTCTACACCATAAATTAATTTGTGGTAATGCCGGACCTAATTACCAAAATCATGGTCCACCAGCATGGAACACGTTTTTACACGTTTTACATGTTTTTACACATTTTTACACGTTTTTATACGTCCTTGATGAGGTAGTGTGAAAATATACACCAACGTAACCTAATTATTATAGCTAGGCCTATAATTTTATGTTATTATTTTATCATCATTCAAACTTTTGGCTTGATACCACTGGGTAGGGTTGGTCCAGTGGCTAAGAGCTCCCCCACTATCAGGTTCATAGGTCTAATCCTGAGGTTGATAGTTGGGGATGGGAAGGGGTGTAAAGAGTGGAAGGTGATAGGGTATGTAATTGCTATTAAATTTATGAATATTTTCCTTTGATTTTGACCAAATATTGTAATAATTGATGGATTTTACTTATATTTGAGAATTGATGCTAATTTTAGAAATAGGCCAAGAAAAGGAGTAAAAAGTATATTTGACAATTGATGCTAATTTCAGGAATATGGCAAGAAAAGGAGTAAAAATTGGATTAATGAAGATTCTTGGTGTGTTCTGTGTGACCGCACCTAATTCTAGCCTCCGGTTCGAAGAGATCGAGATTTGGCGCGCGTGGCAATTTTTCAATTCAATTTGAAGTTCTGTGAAGTGGTTTCCTTTTCCAAAATAATTGGTTTTCGTTTTGTATTTAGAAACAAGTAACTTACCTTTTGTTAATTTATGGGTAGAGAAAATTAAAGGAGATTAGATGTATTAGTGGTAGTAGTAATAGTAGGAAACGTTGGTGACGTGAGTAGGAGGGATTCTTGGCTTTCGTGATTTTAAGACTTTGTTTCGGGTACCGAGAGACTATTAGTCTAGGCACCAAGCAGAAACCAAACGAAGAGCTTTTCTCTCCGTCTTTTCCTGTTTTTTGCTTGCTTTTGTTGAATATTCATGCAACATTTATCAATAAAATTGCTTGGATTATTCGTAGTGATAAGTGTCTAAATTTTCTTTTTCTAGTCAAGGAGTAACGAAGGATTCATCTGCAACTGTGAGATCCAATTGTTTTTATCTATTTCTTTTATTCGTTAGTATTCGTATGTTTTTTGATTTAATTTCTCATGATTGTTTGAATGTCATGAGTGTTTGATATTTAATTCAACCTAACAATCTAATGATAGTTAGGATAGTTAAATTCTTAATTGTTTAATTGTCTTAAATTAGTGGTGACTAATGTGATTGGTTTCATGTTAGAGAAACATATGATCTAATTTAAATAAACTCCAGTAGTGTGTTTATTGATTAAAACATTACTTTTCTAGTTTTTAATGCAATCAATAAATTAAATTATACGGGCGTACCTAGAGTTGTTTCTTGATTAGGAAAGTAGTTAACAAACGTACATTAACTATCGAGATATTAAGGAAAAGTTGGTTATCATCACATGTTCGGCAACTTTAACCTGTTTATTAACGAATAAATGAAATAATTATTGCATTAATGAGCAGCTGTATGAATTACTTCCGAAATTATATCCTTGGCTAGAGCTTGTTTATCAGTTAATCTTTTATTTATTTTTCAGGTTTGGATTCATAACTTAACCAGTCATTAGACTTCATAACTAGTCATGAATATAGTACCTAGTTGACACACAAAACTCAGGGATTGAAAATTGCTTGAAAGTAACAGAGGAACAAAATACACAGATACAAATACAAACACAGACTGCTGTTTTTATTTATTTAATGGTGCATTTTACTCGTATAAGTGCAGCTTTGACATACTTGTACAAGGACACAAACTCAAACACTAATAAGAATGGAAATAGATATTTGTAACTGGTGACTATCGAAAACTTGGTCGCAGAGAACCAGACTCCTTATATTTATGGGCCTAAAAATGTGATTCTGTACCCCATAAAGAAATTTGTGGTGATGTAGGACCGAATCACAAAAATCATGGTCCACCACCATGGAACACGTTTTTACACTGCCATGATGAGGTCGGTGTGAAAATATACACCAACGTAACCTTAATTACTATAGCTAAGCCTGTAATTTTATCTTATTATTTTATCATCCTTCCCACTTTTGGCTTGATGCCACTAGGCAATATTGGTCCAGTGGCTAAGAGCTATCAGGTTTACAGTTTGAATCCTGAAGTTGACAGTTGGGGATGGGATGGAGTGTGGAGAAGGGAGGGAGGGTTAAAATAAAAAAAAAAAAAAAACTTTCAGCTTGAATATGCTAATTTCAGTCAAGTAATAACTTATGCATTTTGTATTTGATTTGATGTATTTCTTAATGAGTTGATGTAAAAGAAGACGACTAACAATTACACCAAAAGAGGAAGTCATTTTCTTAATTGGTTATTAAATTTTTAAATGGAAATTCCATTGGTTTGTAATCATTTTTACACAATAAAAGCAAGAGAAAGTCAAGAAGTTGTGTTTCAATGCCAAATTGCAAAACTTTGTTGCCAACAATCAAAAAATGTATTAAACCGAATGCAAGAAAGCAGCTTTCTCATTTTGGAAATACGACAATCTATTGTGAAGATAATGTAGATTCGAATGTTCAAAAACAGCCATTATGCATGCCAATTAACAAAACTACGCTACTCATTCTATAAGAACCATGCCAGAAGTATAAAAAGTGTTCGTTTCTGATATAAGCTCAAGTTGTGGATATTTTTGTAGGTGCTTTATATTGTTTTTGAGTCAATTTGTGAAGTTAAATGGTGCAAGTTGCTTATTTTAGTCTTTGATTTGTACCTTAAGTTGATAGATGAATTAACTATGATTTTGTCATTTTGATAGGGTGTAATTTGTTAGTAATTTTTATTAGTAATTTCCCCTTTTATCCCTGATAAATAGTGTGCTAATTTCTGATATTTACTCATATTTGGTATCTGGACTTAATTTCAGGAATGAAGCAGAAAACCACTAAAAAGGAAGGACTTTATGGAAAATAGGGAGACTTCTAAGGGCTTCAATTCTTGGGCCCTTGAATTGGTGGGGGACCACTAGCTAGTGGAAGGCATCTACTCCTTTGGGCTCTTAAAAGAAAGCTAGGAAAGAGACTTGGGGCAAGAAGTACTTTCAAGGTTTTGTCCACATGTGTGGGGACCACCTAGATAGCCTTTAGTCATTTTTCTTTTATTGCTTAAATAGAGATAACGGAGAGTAGCAGGGACATCTCTAGTTTTAGTCTTTTAGTTTAGTTTTAGTTTTTCCTTCTTTTGACTGGCCTCTGACACACGCCAGGTGTTCGACAAAATTCCCCAACGGGAAAAACACCTTTTATTCCTTGCTTCTTAATAGAAAACACTATGCCTTTGCAATCCATTAATTCGTGTGGTGATTTAATTATGCGGCGTGGCTAAATCTTCCATCTAGTCAAGGGTCAACTCGACGGCGCAGTCCCGAAAATCTGTGAGATCTAATTAGTTTTCACGTGTTCCTTTATTTATTAATATTTGCATGTTATCTGCTTGAATTTTCATGGGATTACTTTATTAATTGGATGTCAAGGGCCCGATGTTCAATGTGATTTATTAATCTCGTGCCAATTTAGTCAATTAAATCCGTAATTGTTTGATTGATTAATGTTAGTGGCAACTGGTGTGTTTACACATTAGGGGAACGTGCAATCTAATTTAAATAACCCTCGTAGCGTGTTATTGGTTAGGGCTAGGTTTTTCTAGTTATTAATGCAATTGGAAAATTAATTCCTACGGTCGTACCTAGGAGTACTTTTCTGGTTAGAGTTGATTAATGGTCGTACCTTGGTCATCTATAATTTAAGAAAAAATTGGTTGTCAGACTATAACTGGCCTATTAATACATTAAGTGAACCTCTCCTGCATCAATGATCGGATGATTGGACTGTACCTGAGTAGTTGTATCCTTGGCTAGAATTTATTTATTCCTGATTTAATCCCTGTTTTACTTGTGCTAGTGATTTATTTATTTTTAATTAAATTGTTTAATTATTTTTAGTTTCATTCCGGTGAAATCCCCCCTTATCAATTGGACTTTAAAAAGAGACAGATATCCCCAGTCCCTGAGGAGACGACCCTACTTGCCACTGTCTACTATTTAGTAATTTTTGTCTATTAATTAATTCTGGTATATCGGGTTAAGCAAACTCTTCGGGAACAGGGTGAATCAAGTAACCCATTGCACACCTAGAGTCCCTGCTCCAGTACCTAGGATTAATTATTGACTGCTTTTAGTGGTATCTAGGTTCTATATTTATTATTATTATTGCACAGGCTGACGACCTGTCAATTTTTGGCGCCGCTGCCGGGGAACTGGCGTTATTATTTGTTTCTTTATTAAGTTCATTTTCGCTCTAATTTTCTGGTATTTTTCTAGTGTATGCCGCGATCGTCTCGTACAGGTAATTTGGTTTTTGACCCTGAGGTAGAGAAGACTGCGCGTAGGACAAGAAAAGAGACCAGACAGCTCCGAGAGGAGCACTCCAGTGCTACATCTCAGAGACCTGAGCCAGAAGTTGAACCAACAGATTCATTTGGGGACACTTCGAGTGACTCAGAGCAAGAAGAAATCCCCATGGCTAACACACAGACATTAAGGGAGTTGGCTGCTCCAAACTTAACCCAGCAACCTCTTTGCATAACTTTTCCTCGCCTTAGTGAAAATGCAGCTTTTGAATTAAAACCTGGCTTAATACGTTTGTTGCCTGTTTTTCATGGTCTGCCATGAGAGGAACCCCACAAACACATGCAGGAATTTGACGTGGTATGTTCGAGTATGAAGCCTTCGGGAGTAACTGATGAACAAATTAAATTAAGGGCCTTCCCTTTTTCTCTCAAGGATTCGGCAAAGGACTGGTTATACTGTCTACCTGCAGGCATTATCACCACGTGGCCAGAGATGCAGAAAAATTTTTTTGAAAAATATTTCCCTGCATCTAGAGCTGCTAGTTTGCGGAAGGAAATATGTGGCATCAAGCAATTTCACGGAGAATCCTTGTATGAATATTGGGAGAGGTTCACCAGGCTGCGTACCCGATGCCCGCATCATCAAATAAGTGATCAACTGCTGATTCAGTACTTCTACGAGGGGCTACTGATGAACGATAGAAATATCATTGATGCAGCAAGTGGTGGTGCACTGGTGAATAAGACTACCCAGGAGGCATGGGACTTAATCGAGCGAATGGCAGAGAATTGCCAGCAATTTGGTACGAGAGCAGATGTTCCTACGAGAAAGGTCAACGAGGTAAGTTCATCTTCCATTGAACAGCAGTTATCTGAATTAACCTCATTTGTTCGACAGATAGCTGTAGGAAATGCACAGCAGGCCAAAGTGTGTGGGATTTGCACGAATATTGGTCATACCACTGACTCGTGCCCACAGTTACAAGAGGAGGGAATTGAGCAAGCAAACATGGCTGGTAACATGCCCATGCCACGTAGACAGTATGAGCCCTATTCCAACTCATACAATCCGGGTTGGAGGGATCATCCAAATCTGAGCTATGAGGGAAATAAGCAACAAAATTTCATCCCCAATAGACAACAGGGTTTCCAGCAACAATATCAAACAAGGAATCAACCCTCCTCTGCCTCAGGTATGTCCCTAGAAGACATGGTTAAAACCATAGCCTCTAATACTATGAAATTTCAACAGGACACTGAGGCCAGCAATCAAGAGATGAAAGCACGTATGCAAAACTTGGAAAATCAGATGAGTCAATTAGCCTCAATTGTCAACCGACTGGACTCCCAGGGAAAAGGAAAACTTCCATCCCAACCTGAGGTGAATCCCAAGAATGTAAGTGCAATGACCCTCAGGAGTGGGAAAGAGGTTGAAGGACCAGTACCAGTGGCTCCGAAGGACAAGAATGAGGACCGCATTGAGAAGGAACTTGAGGAAGAAGGAACGTCTGGCACAAATAAGGAGGTAATACGTAATCCAGTGATTCCTGTTAAGCCTAACCCACCACCTTTTCCTAGCAGGTTGGAAAGGCCTAAAAAGCAAGACAAGGAAAAGGAAATTTTGGAGATGTTTAGGAAGGTGGAAATAAATATCCCCCTACTTGACGCAATTAAGCAAGTACCCCGGTATGCCAAATTTTTGAAGGACCTATGCATCAATAGGAAGAAATTGAGGGGAGATGAAAGGATAATTGTGGGAGAGAACGTATCTGCAGTGCTTCAAAGAAAACTTCCACCCAAGTGCGGAGACCCAGGTATGTTCACTATTCCTTGTAAAATAGGGAACACTAGCATTAGGAATGCCATGTTAGATTTAGGAGCCTCTATAAATGTGATGCCCAAGGCTATTTATACTTCTTTGAATTTGGGGCCCTTAAAGGAAACTGGCATTATAATTCAATTGGCTGATAGGACTAATGCTTATCCTGATGGGGTGATAGAAGATGTGTTAGTACAAGTGAACAATTTAGTGTTCCCTGCTGATTTTTATATTCTTGATATGGGTGATGAACGTTCTCCAAATCCATCACCAATTTTGTTGGGGAGAAGAAATGTGTGGTACTTGTGATTTTAGTTGTGTTCGAAATAATTCTTGTGCTTAAATTGTGTTTCTTGTGGTTGCTGGCAGGGAGATTTAGTCCACTTTTAAGGGGAGACTCTGTCAAAATTTTTTCCAAAATCTTATACATATATAGGTTATTAACTATAATAAATAAATAAAATTTTGTCACTTATCCTTTTGAAATAAATATATGTGGTTTTGATACTTCTTTTCTCATGAAATTTGGAAATGATTTTTATGTGATTATAATTTTTTCATCTATAGGAAAGTATATCTAGTAAAGTGGAGAAAATTATGCCTACATTTTGTATATTTGATGAAAATTCTTCTTTTTATCTAATTTTATAAGATAAGAAATTAATATGGTTAATAAGTGTCATACTCTTCTCATGATTACTCTTAGAGGGAATTTTATTATATATATATATTGAAAAAAAAAGGGTTATTCTACTCCAATGATTCTCGTACCGAGTAACCGGGGGTTGGCATCTACAAATGTCGACATTCGCGTAAAAAGGTACTTGAATTAAGAGGATGCAAAGCAACTTGAGTATGTGAAATGTTGAGTAATCGGGGATCTGCATCTAAAAATGTCGATCTTCGCGTCAAAAGGTATTTTTCACAACTTAAGTAGTATTTAACTCTTAAAATATATATATATATATATATAAAAAAATAAAAATAAAAGAAGAAAATAAAAGAAACTAAATCCCTCTTTAAGAAAAATAAAGAAGTTAATCATGAGATTAGTTAGCATCTTTATTGACTATATGAGTTGCTTGCTTGAAAAATTGGGTAAAAATGAGAAATGGAGTTAAATTAGTAAAATTATGGTATACTTGGCTCTTCTTTGCTTGATATTATGAGTACTTGAGGTTAATTGAAAGATCACATAAGGGTTATTTACCTTGATTCAAGGAAATGGAGTTGAAATACTACATATGTTTATTTTCAATTTTTGGATCATTGTTGGTTTTATATTTCATATTGCTTGAGGACAAGCAATGATTCAAGTGTGGGGGTATTTGATAAGAGTTTATTTTACGTATTTTTAAGTGCATTTTATTAGTTAATTTTGAGTTGATTATCTAGTTTTATAAATAAAATAAAGAGGTTTTTAGTAAAATTATATATTTTTGGTAAAAGTGGATAATATTGTATTTTTAGTGATTTTAATGATAAAAACTTCATTTTTATGCAGGAATGATGATTCAATCACCAAAGGATGTCAAATGAGATGAAAAATAGAAAGTTGGTGATGAATTCAAGTGGTAACAAGAAGAATGAAGTGAAAAACGTTCAAGTGAGGAAACGCAAGACAAATCAGTTTTGACACTCTTCAGTATTTTGATCATATCTGGAGCTACACTTATCGGATTAAGGTGATATTTATACCATTTTAAAGCTAAGAAAGAGACCTACAATTCGTATGAAGACATCGAAATCCAATTCTGCCATTTTCATGGACAAAAAGTCGAAATACAGAAGCTGCACTCTGTGGTCGAAACTAGAAACAGAGGTTTGACCAGGTGATAGTATTTCGACTATATCTCAGGCTGCACAACTCCGATCTGGATGATTTTTAGAGCATTGGAAAGCTAACTCAAAGGGTTACAACTTTGGTGTTTTGCACAAAAGCCAGTTCGGCCTTTATGATAGAGAAAATCGCAGATGAAGTAAGGCCAAAGTGAATACGCGAGTACACAAAACGTGACTTGTAACCGCGTTTTTTTTTTTTTCAAAAACTTGACGGGTTTTTCTACCACCGAAGTGAACCTCAAAACGGGGGAAGATTAAAGTCAGTAGACGAGGAAATGAAAGTTTGAAGGAAGTTGTCTTACGCCTTGTCGTAGACCTAATGTGGCTGATGATGATGTTCGGCAATGAAATTCGAGCATACGGGGAAGTTCGGTTATGGAACATGTAATCAAGGAAGTAAATATCGCTCTTGCGAACCTCCGTGTGCCCCGTCTTCTTTGGGATGACATTGTGAGCCATCATGTAAATGATAAGCCGATGACGAGGTTCGAAGACATTCGCCAAAATGGTCTCCTTCCTTGTAGAGCGAAAAGGTTGGTACTCAAGACCAAACCTGGCCATGGCCAGCGAGGGATCCCACCTCCTATTCGGGGGAACAAACTCCTTCTTCAAATCTACTGGACGGCCGTCATCCATACACCCCAAAATAGCGGCCAAATCTTGTCGTGACAAGACGATTCTTCTTCCACGCACCCAGGACTCAACCATTTCTCCACTGTGGCGCGCCGTACTCTCAATGTTGGCGTAAAACTCGCGCACCAAATCGGGGTAGTAATGGTTTGGTAAGGTGAGAATCGGAACCCATCCAAGCTGAGGAAAAGCCTCCGTGATGTTATACATCATCTCCACCGTTTGGTTCACGTGCATCTCAAATAGGAACTCCAAGTTAGCATGCTCCTCATGCCATTCTTGATTCCTCCGATTAGTGAACCTTGCACTGTCAAACACAGATCTTCCCGCTCCACGAGAGGTGCCCTCACCAGGCTGTCGGTTAACTGGTGGAGGAGAAGGTGAATTCTCCTCCTCGGATACTTCCATTTCCTCATTAGCCTCCCTCTCATCATCACTAGAAGATGAAAGTATCGCTCTTCTTCCCCTTGGCATAGTACCTAAAAGAAAAATTTGCAATTAACCACATGTATGTAGACACAATGCACAATTTGGCAATGAATATCCTAAAATGATCCAAATAATCTCTAATGTGTCCTTGCAAGTGATAATTCGTCCAATAACTAATGTAAAAGACCGAATCAAGAAGAGCCATAAATTATGCCAAAAAGTGCTCAAAATCACCAATTGAAACAAGATATGCAATAATTATAACCCAATCAGTGAAATTAGCAACAATTATGATTATAACTATTGAGAATTAACAATAATAATATGCTTTTAGCTATAATCATGTTTAGGCAAAAATTAAACCAATTAACTCACCAAATCAACCAAATTACTCACTATACACAATGCACATGCTTAAACATCATCAACTGACCATCCTTAACCCTAATTAATCATCACCAATGGCTCAAAAACACCCTAACTTCATTTTCCGATTTCGTCTAAATATAGCAATTGTGAATTTTAAAGTACATGAAAACCAATAAATTGCTACATTTAAACATATAAACATGCTTAAAGAATCATAATAATCATGAATAAAATCAAAAATATTCATGAACATCATCAAATTTTCGAAATTAAAAGATGTCAGATAGCTCAGGATAAAAAATATGAACTTCTAAAATCAAAAGATTTGATGAAGAACTTACCTCAATCACGTAGAAGGATGTTTGGTGATGCTAAAAATGCAAAAAGCCCTATGAAACAACCTCCAATTGACCTCCAATTGAAGAAATTAGAGTTTAAGAACCCTAACCTTCAATCCCTCAAAAACCTGATTTTAGGTGTTTTTCTTTGATTTTAATCGGTTAAAAAGGGTGTATGAAGCTCAAATGGTGTTGGGGTGATGATATCTAGCAAGATTATGGAGTATAAATGGAATTTTGTGAGTTGGGCAGAGGAAAGAGGGAAAAATGCGGCTGGAAAAATTGCAGAACTGAAGAAGAAAGGCTGAAATCGCGTTTTTGTTGAAGCAGAAAAATGAACCGAAAACGCGACTCAAAACGCGCCTTTAACGCACGTTTTTTTTTTTTTTTTTGAAGTCGCGTTTTATTCACAAATATCGCAGAATTGAAAACGCGATTACGTATGAAAACGCGACTTGAAGTCGCGTTTATCTGGGTCGCGTTTTCCAGTTTTGCTCAGGCGAGAAAACGCGACTTCCTTCAAAACGCGACTTTAAGTCGCGTTTTGAAGGCGCGTTTTCTGTTCTGCAGGTGCAAAATTGTAAACGCAATTCTGAGAAACGCGACTTATAGTCGCGTTTTCTTGGAAAACGCGTTTTCTGCTTCGATTTTTAGCAGAATTTCAACTTCTGAAAAATTACAAAAGGTACCCCAATGACTCAAAATGCATCATAGATCATTTGTTTGCCAATTTTAATGACTGGAACAAATGTAAAACATTAAAAACATGCATTTTACCCCTTTATAATGAATCAAAAACACCTTTAACGCAAATCGAGGGGTTGAGTTGTTTGATCAAAGTTCGCCTTTTTTGTACTCAATAGGTCATCCTTGCCTTCAATTGCCAACCCTACATTACAAAAACAACAATGTAGCTAAAACATTGATTCAAACCACAAAATCATACCAAATTAACATATATAACATAAACATTGGGTTGCCTCCCAATTAGCGCTCTTGTTTATAGTCGTTGGCTCGACTCACATATTAGGGTTCTTAAATTGAAGAGAGTTCGCCCAAAAGACATATAAGCCCCTTGGGTACGATTTCACCTGCCAAGTAGGGTTTCAATCGTTGTCCATTGACCTTAAACCTTTCATTTCTTGAATTTGCCACTTCAACCGCTCCATAGGGAAATACTTGAGTGACTTCAAATGGTCCGGACCACCTTGACTTCAATTTTCCTGGAAATAACCTCAGGCGTGAATTGAATAAAAGCACTTTTTGCCCTACCTGAAATTGTTTAGGAATAATGTGCTTGTCATGCCAATATTTGATCTTTTCTTTATAAATTTTGCCATTTTCGTATGCATGTAACCGGTGTTCCTCCAATTCACTCAGCTCAAGTAATCTCCTTCCACCTGCAAGATTAAAATCCATATTAATTGCTTTAATAGCCCAATAAGCTTTATGTTCAATCTCTACAGGTAAGTGACAAGATTTTTCATAGACTAAACGATACGGCGACATCCCTAAAGGAGTCTTAAATGCCGTTCGGTAAGCCCATAGTGTGTCATCTAGCTTTGTAGCCCAATCCTTGCGTGATTTATTCACAGTTTTCTCCAAAATGAGCTTTATCTCACGATTAGCTAGCTCCGCTTGTCCATTGGCTTGAGGATGGTACGGGAGTGATGTCTTGTGCCTACAGCCATATTTAAACAA